TACTACTACTACTACTACTACTACTACTACTACTACTACTACTACTACTACTACTACTACTACTACTACTACTACTACTACTACTACTACTACTACTACCAACTCCTACTCCTACTCACTCCTCGTCCTTCACTTCCGATGCTTCCATTCCTTCCCCGCCCGCCTCTCCCTCCTCAAACTCTTTCCCCCCCCATCCTTCTGCCCTCCCCCTCCTCTTCCACCTTCCTTCTCGTATCCCCATCCCGGCCTCACCGTCCCCCTCCTTCATCCACCTGTTCCTCCAGCAGGAGAGAGAGAGAGAGAGAGAGAGAGCGAGCGAGAGAGAGAGAGAGGCACAGAGAGAGAGAGCGAGAGAAAGCAGAATCTACAAACATCTGTATACGCGGTGTAGAAAGAGAAGAACACGAAAGAAAGATAACGAGAGAGAGAGAGAGGGAGTAGGAACAGCTAACATACGTTGCTACGTAACAGACACGCATGAATTGAGGGACAGACGGACATGCCACATCTTACTTGTCTGTGCTTGTTAATATTGTTGAAAACCACCGAGGACACATGTGCCCCCCAAGACGAGTGCGGGATCACAGCACCCGTCGCCCACTGAGGAGGGAGGAGAGAAAGGAAGGGAGGGAGGAGGACGGGCAGCAGGAGGAGCGGGAGGACAAGGAGGAGCAGGAGGAATCTGAAGATCCTCAGAGGAGTGAGAGGAGGATGGCCAGGAGCAGGAGGTGTAAGAGAAAGATGATGAGATGGACGACGAAGGAAGATGGCAAGAGGGAGCAACATGATGGGGACGAAGAGGAGGAGGAGGAGGAGGAGAAGGAGGAGGAGGAGGAGCCTGGCCACCCTGCAACCGCCACTTGAACATGCGACGGTTGATTGTGTCCATGCGGCCCCACCGTACCTGGGGTCTGGAGGAGGAACATGAGGAGGGCCGATGACTGATATCTCTGAATGTTTTCAGTCCTTTTCGGACTTCCAGAGGCCTCTGGAACCCATTGCGACCTCCAGGAATGGGAGAAGGAAGAACCGTACAAGTGAGGTGAGGACACGGAGGGACCTGCCCATAGAGCGGCGCGCAGTTCACGATCTTGTCTTCCTGCGAGTTCGGAATCGCCTGGCAGTACTTGGTGCTATTAACCCTCTGAAAATTGGCATTCGGAAGCGCCTCCAAGCGATCCCTCAGGTCTATGTCCTGCGCGCCCATGGGGTAGCAGTCTTCGTCATAGCCGCGGATTTTATCGAAATCCGATCGCCAACACGCAATGCGACCGCACGTGCCCAGCCCGCCTTCGTACTGCAGGCCAGTGGACCCGGTGGTTAGCCTGAGCACTACGTCCTGCGGGAAGCCGGGACCCAGAAGGTTGTCCCCGTCGCAATTCACTAATATGTCCTCGTCCGCCACTGCGTGCGCCGTGTTCTTGGCGACCGAGGCGTGCCAGAATTCCAGGTCGGCGCGGTACACCCGCAGCAAGTCGCAGTCCATGGCGACTCTGCACCGGTTCAGCAGGAAGTCCATGGTGCCATCCGAGCTGCCGAAATCCACGACGTGGATCCTGACCCACTGGCGGTGGGGCCAGCACTGCAACAGGTTCAGGGGCAGAGCCCGTCGCAGCTGCCAGAGCCTGTTCATGCTGGTGATACAGAGCCCGACCGTGAACTGCGACGTGGTTACCTCCGTGTCTCCTCGGAGGTGCGACAGCCCCTCGTCCAGCCACGTGGTCAGTCGGTGCGGGCTCTCCTGGGAGGCCGCAGCAGGGACGCTTCCCAGACTCTCTCCTCCTCGTCCCCTCCCACTTCCCCCTTCCATCACCTCTCCCCCTCAGCCTCCTCCTCCTTCGGGGAAGACGGGGATGGTAGTGAGGAGGAGGAGACGGAGGAGGAGAGGGATGATGATGATCATGATGATGATGATGATGATGATGATGATGATGATGATGATGATGATGATGAGGAGGAGGAGAAGGAGGAGAAGGAGGAGAAGGAGGAGGAGGAGGAGGAGGAGCCAGAAGGAGGAGGAGCAGCATGTGGAAAGCGGGGAAGATCGAGCAGGAGGGGAAGCAGGAGGAGAAGGATGGCGACGAGGAGCTCACGGGCTGAGAGGCGCAGGGCGGCAAAACCAGCAGCAGAGGTCTGGCTGCGCGTCCCGCAGACCTTCACCGGCAGGTTGGAGTCGGGGCAGCAAGTCGAGGAGGACGAGGAGGAGCGCGATAAGGAGGAGGAGGAGGACGAGGAGGAGGCAAGGGAAAGCTGAGAAAGGGGTCGAGGAGGACGAACAGCAGAGGGGTGACGAGAAGAGGAGGACGAGAAAAACAGCGGGGGAGAGGGCGACGAGGACGAGGATACTGAGGACGAAGTGGAGGAAGAGGTCGAGGACGAGGAGGAGGGGGAGGAAACCACGGCGTACCAAGGCCGTGGCAGCGTGCCCGCCCACAGGGGGCCAGCCGCGAGCGCACTTCTCTCTCACACCTTCATCTCTTGCACCCATTACATCTCCAGATTTTCCGTTCAATTTTCTTCACCTCCTACATCTAGATAACATTGCTGTGGTCCTTGAATTGCGCAGCACAACGCTACGTGACCATTTCGGCCCTGCACCACCGCGGCGTCGACATCTACATCGTACGCCAACACCACAAACACCACTTGCACGGCCATGTTGGCCAAGTGACCCCACACATACTGCAGCATTCTGCAAGCAATAACACAATGACTTCCTTGATATATTTTTTCTTCCAACCCGGCCTGGCACTGTCGGGAGCGGGAACGACGTGCAGCTGTACGCACACTCCTACGGGTAGCCACGGCGCGCACCCTGCTAGAACCACAGACTCGGCACGAGCCTCAAACAGCGGCACATCTTTTGGAGCAGTACCGTAGCGCACAGCAGCCACCTCGACAACCGAACCATACATTGTCCAGTTTCGCACAGGTACCCCAAGCCACCTGCCAAACAATCAGCTCTTCGTGCGCTTTCCACCACCTGCCCGTCAACAGTTTTAATATGGTTTGGTCGCTTCGGCGATCCAGCCTGCAGCGCGAGCACTGCGGCCCAATGACCTCCATCTGATTATTCACCTAACCACTTCGACTTGTCATTCCGCGCGGATTATTTGATGAGTCTGTTCAGCCTCTTTTGCCCCACAAAATCTTTGCTTGCCTGAGCTTGGTCTTTTTGGTTTAGTAGATCAAGCGTTGCTGAAGAAATCCAAGGCCGCTGCGGTTCCCTTCCAGTCTGTGCGATTTGTTTTGCAGCATGCGTCGTTGAATCTGTGACGAAATCGGCATGTATATGTTCAAATTCTCCGCAGTTGTTGGCACCGCTGTAGCTTCGCAGAACCGGCGCTGATAGATTTCAGCGACGGCTTTGCCGTTCAGCAGCAGGTTCACGTAGCGGTTGGTTCCCCGGGGGGCGTTCGGAACGATCTCGACTTGCATATCCAAGTGCACTTGTGATAAGAAGTGCTGGGATGCTAACGCAAGTGTCCGGTCCGCCCAAATGCCAGACATCTTCCGAAGCGCATGCTGGCCCGCGAGGTGCATGTCAATTCGGGCAAAACCATCAGCTATTGAAGAAAATCTGCTTGGCCCACTTCTGCCCCGTAATGCGTGGCCTACTTTTCAGGGGTCTCGCAGAAATCCCGCACATTTCCCATAGTAGCTCTCTGTTTAAAACTTGTCTTTGTCGTGGCCATTTGCTCCGGACCAAACGTTCGCCAATTGCGTCTTCGTCTCCGGGCCCCAGGTCGCATAATCTAGAACTGACGTCACCAAGGGCCACGGTGCAGCTATGATTGGGCGCTGCCGGCCAAGCTTGCGCGGTCTTGTCGAAGATGTCGCGCGCATCTTCGTAGTCGGGACCTCCATGGGGCGCGCGAGCAAAAATAAGGTCGAGAGCGCCGCCCGTCACCCTAACCTTCTCAACCGCGAGCCTATCTGAAATAAGCTTATAATTGACAATCGACTTGGTCGCCCAAGTTGCAGTTAGCAATTCTGCTCCAAAGTGAAATTGCCCTTCTCCCGGTGGCTCTGAAGTGCCAGAAAGGATAAGCATATAACCATTCTCCAGAAGCTCAGTGCGTGTGTGTGTGCTGATCCCAGTTTCTTATATGCGCAATATCGCATTTGCGTGCTGTTCCATGTGCAATTGCAAAATTCCCGCACATTTCCCATAGTAGCTCTCTGTTAAAAACTTGTCTTTGTCGTGGCCATTTGCTCCGGAACAAACGTTCGCCAATTACGTATTCGTCTCCGGGCCCCCAGTCGCATAATCTAGAACTGACGTCACCAAGGGCCACGGTGCAGCTATGATTGGGCGCTGCCGGCCAAGCTTGCGCGGTCTTGTCGAAGATGTCGCGCGCATCTTCGTAGTCGGGACCTCCATGGGGCGCGCGAGCAGAAATAAGGTCGAGAGCGCCGCCCGTCACCTTAACCTTCTCAACCGCGAGCCTATCTGAAATAAGCTTATAATTGACGATCGACTTGGTCGCCCAAGGTGCAATTAGCAGTTCTGCTCCAGAGTGAAATTGCTCTTCTCCCGGTGGCTCTGAAGTGCCAGAAAGGATAAGCATATAACCATTCTCCAGAAGCTCAGTGCGTGTGTGTGTGTGTGTGCTGATCCCAGTTTCTTGTATGCGCAATATCGCATTTGCGTGCTGTTCCATGTACCATTGCAATTCTGCCACTTTCGCCATATCTTTGCCCGGACCTTCAACGCTCCAGCTCCCGAGCCGCTGCTCGTAGAGTGGCGCGCAGCTCCTTGAAACCGAGATATGTGTTGTTTTGGTAGCATTGGCATTTGCATCTGTGTCCTTTCCATGCTTCCTACCTTCTCAAGGTGCACGGTGCGTTGACGGAATGGTATCTTTGCCCGTTCCCAGGGGTGAAACAAAAAATGACGTTGACGTGGTAGGTCGGCATTTTTATCCGTACCCAAACCAACATCCATACTGACATAAGTTACGTTCGTTTTGAAAAGGGAATGCTGTCGACATGGAGTCTGAAATAGCGGCGTTCTGGCAGCAAGGCTCGTGCTACGAGGCTCGCTTGCCCGCCATATTTCCCATTTCTCAGTGCTTTCTTCCGAGGTTCCTCTGGCTCCACTTTTCATCTCTATCGACGTCCTCTCCAATATGGCGTCGCACTTTTGCACTCAATCAAAAGATTCGGGTGGGCTTGCGGCTTGCAATTCGGCCCGTTTTGCCAAATCCTTCTCCCAGATGCGCTCGATGCGATTACCAACAATATGTACGATAAGAGAAAATGCCCACCGACTTCATCAGTATAAAGTGCTTCGTCGGAAACCCTGATATTGCATGGGCTGTTGATGTATTGTTTCGGTATCTATTTCAATCAAACAAAAATTGCGCGCCGCCCTCACGGCTGGATCCCTGTCCTGCGTACACCAAACAGTGTGTGCGCCTCGCTGGAGCGTGGCGCTGCGTAGTTGCGCCGCCGCCGTATCCCTTTCGAATATCGTCTGAAACTCGGCGAAAGGGATGACCTTGAACTCGCCTTTCGAATACGTGTTTGTAAGGATTGGCCCGTCCATTTTGCTCAACTCTTTCCGAACATAATCGGAAGCGGCACCAAGATAGTCAAATCCTTCCAAATGTCCTACCACCGCTGTGACCGCGCGCTTCCCGTACTAGTGGTATTTGTCAGCCGCGTTCTGTGAAACACCGGATGTTGCCGAATTCGCAACAGTTGACACTGTAGCGGTAGTTGTCTGCATAATCGTGCGATATCCCTGAGGTCGATCGCGGAATACAAGATGTTATATGATCCACGTCTTGCTTGATCTTGTCGAAGCGCTCGTTCATGCAGTTCTCCAAATCGGTAGCGTGTATCTGTACATCATCGATATCGTGCTCGAATTTCGTAGTTATCTCTTCGATTGAGGTTTTGAGTGGCTCTGTGGTTTCTTGCAGGTCCCGCTGGGACACTCCATGAAGCTTAAAAGCAGCAGTATATTGTTGGATGGGTCGTAGGTATTCTGCAAAAAAAGGGTGCCGATAGCTGACAAAGTGATTGGACCATCTGTATGCTTCCCTTTGCCTTTATCTTGCTCGTCCGAGCCAGCTGCGGCCGCGATGTTCATGTCGAATCGTTGCTGGCGTCGCCGGCGTGCGCCTGGGGGGTCGTCGCTAGAAGTCACTGCATCCACAGGCGGTTGTGGTGGTCCTGCTGCTTCTGCGTCTTCCACGTCGAGCCCGTCCATCTCGTTCAACGGGCTCTTGACACGAGCAGCTCTTGCTGAAGGTGAAACCGGCGATTTGGAAGAGAACGGTGAAGCGATACTATGCTTCTCCATCTTGAACAACTGCTTGACAGGGGTACCTGAAGAAGGCATGGGTGTGGCATCGACATGTAAGGAATCCAAGTGTGGAGGATACGTGAAAAGACATGGAAATGGAATGGTGCAGTCGGAAACCAGGGAATGTAGGAGTATCGGATGTACCGGCCCTTGAGCGACTTTGAGCCACCTTGAGCCATCTCAAAAGCGGCGAGGTTTCTGAGAAGCCCCCTGCGGCTTCGGAGAAGGCTCAGAAAGCTCCTCGGCAGGCCAAACAACTTCTGAGCCTTCGAGGGACCGCCCGTCCGCCTTTCCCCCCCGCGCGTCGCCGAATTTGGCTCTCGGGTCAGAACTCGGGCCTCCGGCGACCGCTCGGGAGGATGAGGGCAGCCCCAGAACGCTCTCGTCTTGGCGCAGCTGCTGGAAAACCGGGGCCAGAAAACCGCCGAGAACGGGCGAAGGCGCCCGAACACCTCGAGCCTCACACCCCCTGAGCGCATCCCCGCCGAATGCTGGCCCTCGGTCCCAGGAGCCACTGCCCGTATGCCCGAAAACCCCGAACCTCCAGCCCGAACTGCCTTCCCCCCTCGGGCGCGCCGCCGAGAGGCGCCTTCGGCCGCCGCGAGGGCTCCTCCGCCCGCGAGGCTTCCTTCACCCACCTCGCCACCTTCGGCCTCCCCCACCCGCGAGGGCTCCTCCACCCGCGAAGTCTCCTCCACCCTCCTCCACGCGAGGGCTCACGCTGGCCCAAGCCCAGTCGTTGGGGTCCCAGGTATTGGAGGCTAGAGCTCGGCGACAGCAGGGCATGACGCCCCTGTGGCAGGGTCCCGCCTGCCCTACCCGAGAGGCCTCCTCCACCCGCGAGGTCCAGGGGGCGAGGCTCCTCAAGGATGAGCCGAAGAGGGCCAGACGAGCCCCCTGACGACTTCGGGGAGGCCTCATCGGAGGCCTCCGACGGCGGGCCAGCGTAGCTCGACCGAACCTGGCTTCAGGCCGCTTGCTCATCTCATCATCACCCGCGAGGTCCCCTCCTCCTGGGAGGAGCCTCCGGCCGCCAGGGGGTCTCCTCCACCCACCGCGCGGCCTTGCGGACCGTGTCGAGCAGGCAGCCGTCCCAGCAGTCGGCCGACCTGCCGGAGCCGTCAAGCCACGCCACGCGCCGTCCCTTGCTCTCTTGGACGTCCAGCCACAGCACCCCGCGCTGCCTTGCGAGGAGGAGGAGGAGGAGGAGGAGGAGGAGGAGGAGGAGGAGGAGGAAGAAAAAGAAGAGCAGGAGGAGGGGGAGGAGGAGGAAAAAAAGGGGGATGAGGATGAGGATGGGATGGGATGAGGATGAGGATGGAGGAGGAGACGAGGAGGAGGAGGAGGAGGAGGACACACGAGTGAGAAGGAGGAGGAGGAGGAGGAGGAGGGGAGGAGGATGGAGGAGGAGGAGGGGCAGGGGGAGGAGGAGGGGAGGAGGAGGTAGGAGGAGGTGAGGGAGGAGGAGGCGCAGGAGGAGCTAGTGAGGAGGAGGAGGAGGGGGAGGAGGAGGAGGAGGAAGGGGGGAGGAGGAGGAGGGAGTGAGGAGAGGAGGAGGGGGACGAGGAGGAGGACGATGAGGAGGAGGAGGAGGAGGAGGAAGAGGAGGAGGAGGAGGGGGAGGAGGAGGAGGAGGAGGAACAGGAGCAAGGTGAGGAGGAGGAGGAAGAGGAGGAGGAGGAGGAGACGAAGGAGCAGGAGCCGGAGGAGGAGGAGCAGGAGGAGGAGGGGGAGGAGGATGATAGGAAAGGACGACAGGGTGCGAGCGTCGAGGGGCGCACTTTGACTGAGAAATGGGCAGCGTGGTGGGGCCTCTGTAGGCTGCGTCTGGGGCCTCAGTGGGCAGCGTGGTGGGGCCTCAGTGGGCTGCGCCGAGGGCCTCAGTGGGCAGCGTGGTGGGGCCTGTGTGGGCGCGTTCGGGGCCTGTGTGGGCTGCGCCGAGGGCCTCAGTGGGCAGCATGGCGGGGCCTCCGCGGGCGCGTTCGGGGCCGCTGTGGGCTGGTTTTGGGGCCTGAGTGGGCAATTTGGAGGGACCTCTGTGGGCGCGTTCGGGGTCTCTGTGGGCTGCGGCAGGGGCCACTGTGGGCAGCGTGGCGGGGCCTCACTGGGCGCGTCTGAGGCGGGAGCCGTTGTTGGTGTTGTTGTTGTTGTTGTTGTTGTTGTTGTTGTTGTTGTTGTTGTTGTTGTTGTTGTTGTTGTTGTTGTTGTTGTTGTTGTTGTTGAATATTATTACTTCTAAAGAATAATTATTGTTGGGCCCCCTGGTGCACGCCCCCCCCGCCGCGCCTCGGCCGCAGCCACGTTTTCATCACTTCGTGAGGAAAAAAGAAAATACAAAAGAAGATAATAAAAGAAAAGAGATCAAAACATAAAAAAAAAAAAAAAAACAACCTAAGAGGAAGCCTCAGGTAATACGATGTCATCAAGATCCGGTTGTTTTGTTGTAATCCGTTTTCCCTTGCAAAAAACACTATAAAATGACATTTCTTGTTCTAATATAATCAAATTTCAAGAATCCCTTGCAAAAATAAGGTAAAGTGGACATTCGCGCGCGCAAGACGAAATCCTTCCAAAAGCTTAGTGGTCGGAGCGATTTTAACATAAAAACATCAAAAAACCAATGGTTTTTCAACCAAAAAATGTCAAAATCTCATCCCGCGCGCTCTTGCGGATTCGTAGGAAACCCAACACTTTTTAAACATTTCTGTCAAACGGGCTTTTGCGAGCAACTTTTCGAACTTCTGCGACAACGGTTGCGCACCTGCCAGGGCCATCATCCCTGTCACATAATACCATGCGGGACACATTCGTTTTTTCTTCGCGCGCGCACGCTGAAATCTCCAAAAACCATTGGGCTTCTTAAGAATTTTAGCACCGCGCATCATAAAATCACACGAATCGCACCGTAGGTCCTCGAAAAACACCTGCACGACTTTTCAAAATTTCCACCCGCGCGCGCTGTCCGAATCCTAAAAAACCAATGGTTTTCCAACATTTATGTTACATGAGCTCGCGCGAGCTACTTTCGCACGCTCTTGCAACGGGGTTCGCGCGCCTGCCCGGGGCCATAATCCCTTGCGGTTGCGCCATAGGTTGCGCCCTCGGCCGCCGAGAATAAAACGCCCCCCTATTGGTTGCGCCATAGGTTGCGCCCTCGGCCGCCGAGAATAAAACGTCCCCCTACTGGTTGCGCCATAGGTTGCCCCAGGAGGCCTTCAAGAGGCCCCAAGAGCCCGCCGTGAGGACCCAATAAGCCCCCAAGAGGCCCCAAGATGCTTCCAAGAAACCCCCCAAAGCCCCTCAAGAGGACCCCAAGCGGCGCCAGGAGGCTTCCCCCCTTCCCCAAGAGGACCCCAAGCGGCCCAGGAAGCCTCCGACTGATCACTGGCACATCCGTAGCCATCTCGGATCAAGGTATCGCCTGTGTTCTTGGATGGTCCATGGCTTTGACGGCGAAAGCCCATGACGAGCAGTATGGCCCGGAGCTGTCGCGGCCTCCCTTGGCCGACTGCGAGAGCCCGTATTATTTGCATCAGGCGCTCGTTGCAAAGGGTATCCAGGTCAGTCACCAGGCGTGCAAGACTTGGTGGGGCAAATATCGGGTTGTGCCTGGCAAGGTTAGTATTTCTAGCGCCCAGGAGCTGGAGGGGCAGCACGGTTCTGCCATCCGCCACCTGGGCATCGAGTATAATACACCTTTCAAATTATGCGGGGCGCTCCGACAGTTGGATCCACCACTGTATGCGACAGATCAGGTCGCAAAGATGTGGCTACTGCAGTATTCTTCCAAAGAGACGCTTGTCAAAGTGCAGAACGCTGGCCATCTGGAGACCTGGTATGGAGAACGTATTCGCAAAGACATGCCCGAGGGGACTACTGACGGGGCCGCGTTGAAGCAGTGGCTCCTGGGACATTTATCTGTATCTGCTGACGCCAGGGTATGCCAGAAGTGGCTCAGCACGGAGTGGGGCGCCAATGGGGGCATTGAATACTGCCCAAGCTGTGGAGGAATGTATAGGCCAGCGTCTTCGACTCAATCAGTATCGGGAGAGCTTCGCCGATGAGGCCGCCGCGGAGGTCCTCTCGCAGCTTCTCTCGGAGAGCGACCCTCCCGTCGCTGTCAGCGGTATGGTTTTGAGGCAATGGTACGTGAAGTATCACCCTGACTCCGGACCTTTGCAGTATGACACGGCTGAAAAGCTCGACGCGGCATTTGGTGACCACATGCGCGCGGTATATCCAGGGCTGAAGTACCACACGTTGCATACCGCGTTGCGTATGCGACGGAAAGCTGTCTTGGTGCCCCGAGGAGTGTTGAGACAGTGGTGCGATGCGTATGCGTCGGTGAGCTCTTCAGTGCAGGCGGCGGCTTCATCCGCCCAGGCCGTCACCAGGCGTGCATTGAAGCGCCCGGCGGCGCAGGTCGCAGGCGGGGCATTGAAACGGCCAGCCGCCGCCGGATCTGCCCGCGTGGCCAAACGGCCTGCCGCGGTCGACTGGGAGGAGCCCGTATCGAAGCAGCAGGCCACGGCAGCTTCTTCCCCCACAGATGTGGTTTGTATAAAGCTGCTGACGGGGGATGCTGTAGAGGCGGCATGCGGCAAGCGGTATCGAGAGCAGGTCTCCGACTTGGGCCTTGGCCTCACTTACCAGAATATGCAGGTGCGTCTGAAGGCCTGGGGGTATGAGGCGGGTCCATATGCCTTGCGAGAGTGGCTTTGCAAGTATCGACTCGGAGACGGTGCCAAACGTGGCAATTGCGCCGTCTACGCGTTGTCGCGCAGGGACCTCCAGTACTGGTATCACGTAGAAGGTTTGAGGGGGCGAGCGCTGGTGGACAAGTATCGCGCGGAGACCGGGGTATTTGCACATTGGGTCGCCCTGGAGAGGTGGCTGAAGGCGCCCTCCCAGCAGCTGGCAATACTGGAGAATGCTGAGGAGATACACAGCCACGTATGCGGGGAGTATGTCCTGGAGCAGCTGCAGAAGGGCGTCTCGGCCGAGGAGGTGAAAAAGCAGTTACTGGCGCAGTATCTCGTGGATTGCAGGACCACGCAGCGGCTCGTAGCGCATCGTCGCTATCGCGAGCAACGTGGCGAATACTGGACCAGCGACCACCTAGAGCAACAGGAGTGGGAGTTCTTGTATTCCTTGGTTTCTCTGGATAGCAAGCTCGGTCACAACCGGGCGGTTGGCTGTCGAGCCCGGGCTAGACCTGGTTTGGAGGCTGTGCGTGTATCTTTATGTCAGCGCTTGGGCGTGGCGGAAGAGTTGGTGCCTTTGCAGAATCTATCGCTATTTGTTGGTGGCCACGAACGGCATGCCAAGTTGGCACTCGAGTATCCAGATGCCTTCGTATACAAGGATGCGCTGCCAGGTCCTGTGGTGGAGGCCTACGAGAGGACCTTCCTGGGCCAGGTGCTGCCGAGGACTGCACACGCGTGTATCTCCGACCAAGAGCAAGGCTGGCATGCGAGAGCTTGCAGCGTGGCGACAGCTGACGGTTGCATAGTATTCCCGAAAATGGCGGCGGACGCTTGTCTTATTGCTGCGTATGCCATGTTAAAGTGCCAGGAGGTATTTCAGCGACAGTCTTGGTCCATGTCATTACTCACCAGTATCCACGCCACCTACACGAAGCAGTATAATCTGACAGACTTTGCGTTCTGGGTGTGCTACGGGAGTTGGTCCGCTTGCGAGGCCTGCGGTTCGTTCTTCTTCAATGACGAGTAATTCTCGAACCGTGTATATCAGGATCGTAGCACGTCGGAACAACCAGACATGTTGGCGGCGTATCGTCGGCAAGTACCGCAGGACCCGGTGGTGCACGCCTGTGGCCAAGTTGGTATATCTTCGAGATGGTGGTATAAGCCAGGCATGTACACGTCTGTGGTTGCCAGCTGCCCTTGCTGTTCTGGTAAAGAGACTCCTCTCGAGAAGTTCAACCGCCGTATGCAGAACCATGGGCAGGCCCTCAAGGTTGCAAAGACGTCGGAGCTGTATAGGATCCCCTTGGCGACGAAGTCGGGCTACGAGGCAAAGGAGTGTATCACCTGGCCTCGATATTCGTTTCGGCAGTTTTCGCTGGGCCACAGCACTGGGCCCTGTATGCACGAGATGACCCTCGACGAATGTCGTGCTTTGAGCATCGTCGTCTTGAGGACCTCCGTACAGCAAGAGAGGT